CCACAGGAAAAAGTCTCGAAAACCTCCAAAAGCATGGATGTTAAAGAACACCCTATTAAAGAATGAATTGGTCAACCAGGCAATTAGAGAAGAAATTTAAAAATATATGGAAACAAACTAAAATAAAATACAACAATCCAAATGCTTTGGGATGCAGTGAAGGCAGTCCTGAGAGGAAAATACATTGGAATCCAGGCCTATCTCAAGAAACAAGAAAAATCCTAAACACAAAATCTAACAAAACACCTAAAGGAAATAGAAGCAGAACAGCAAAGACACCCTAAACCCAGAAGAAGAAGAGAAATAATAAAGATTAGAGCAGAAATAGACAATATAGATTCTAAAAAAAACTGTAGAGCCAATCAACGAAACCAAGACTTGGTTTTTTGAAAAAATAAACAAAATTGATAAACCTCTAGCCAGGCTTCTCAAAAAGAAAACGGAATGACCCAAATAGATAAAATCATGAATGAAAATGGAATTATTACAACCAATCCCTCAGAGATACAAACAATTATCAGGGAATACTATGAAAAATTATATACCAACAAACTGAACAACCTGGAAGAAATGGACAAATTCCTAAACACCCACACGCTTCCAAAACTCAATCAGGAGGAAATAGAAAGCTTGAACAGACCCATAACCAGCGAAGAAATTGAATCAGTCATCAAAAATCTCCCAACAAATAAGAGTCCAGGACCAGATGGCTTCCTAGGGGAGTTCTACCAGACGTTTAAAGCAGAGGTAATACCTATCCTTCTCAAGCTATTCCAAGAAATAGAAAGGGAAGGAAAACTTCCATACTCATTCTATGAAGCCAGTATTACTTTGATTCCTAAACCAGAGACGCAGTAAAAAAAGAGAACTACAGGCCAATATCCCTGATGAATATGGATGCAAAAAATCTCAATAAGATACTAGCAAATCGAATTCAACAGCATATAAAAAGAATTATTCACCATGATCAAGTGGGATTCATTCCTGGGATGCAGGGCTGGTTCAACATTCACAAATCAATCAACGTGATACATCACATTAATAAAAGAAAAGAGAAGAACCATATGATCCTGTCAATCGATGCAGAAAAAGCATTTGACAAAATCCAGCACCCTTTCTTAATAAAAACCCTTGAGAAAGTCGGAATAGAAGGAATATACTTAAACACCATAAAAGCCATTTATGAAAAGCCCACAGCTAACATCATCCTCAATGGGGAAAAACTGAGAGCTTTTTCCCTGAGATCAGGAACACGACAGGGATGTCCACTCTCACTGCTGTTGTTTAACATAGTGCTGGAAGTTCTAGCATCAGCAATCAGGCAACAAAAGGAAATCAAAGGCATCCAAATTGGCAAAGATGAAGTCAAGCTTCACTTTTTGCAGATGACATGATATTATACATGGAAAATCCGATAGACTCCACCAAAAGTCTGCTAGAACTGATACATGAATTCAGCAAAGTTGCAGGATACAAAATCAATGTACAGAAATCAGTTGCATTCTTATACACTAACAATGAAGCACCAGAAAGACAAATAAAGAAACTGATCCCATTCACAATTGCACCAAGAAGCATAAAATACCTAGGAATAAATCTAACCAAAGATGTAAAAGATCTGTATGCCTAAAACTATAGAAAGTTTATGAAGGAAATTGAAGAAGATATAAAGAAATGGAAAGACATTCCATGCTCATGGATTGGAAGAATACATACTGTCAAAATGTCAATACTACCCAAAGCTATCTACACATTCAATGCAATCCCAATCAAAATGGCACCAGCATTCTTCTCAAAACTAGAACAAGCAATCCTAAAATTCATATGGAACCACACAAGGCCCCGAATAGCCAAAGTAATTTTGAAGAAGAAGACCAAAGCAGGAGGCATCACAATCCCAGACTTTAGCCTCTACTACAAAGTTGTCATCATCAAGACAGCATGGTATTGGCACAAAAACAGACACATAGACCAATGGAATAGAATAGAAACCCCAGAACTAGACCCACAAACATATGGCCAACTAATCTTTGAGAAAGCAGGAAAGAACATCCAATGGAAAAAACACAGTCTCTTTAATAAATGGTGCTGGGAGAACTGGACAGCAACATGCAGAAGAATAAAACTAGACCACTTTCTCACACCATTCACAAAAATAAACTCAAAATGGATAAAGGACCTGAATGTGAGACAGGAAACCATCAAAACCTTAGAGGAGAAAGCAGGAAAAGACCTCTCTGACCTCAGCCGCAGCAATTTCTTACTTGACACATCCCCAAAGGCAAGGGAATTAATAGCAAAAATGAACTACTGGGACCTAATGAAGATAAAAAGCTTCTGCACAGCAAAGGAAATAACCAACAAAACTAAAAGGCAACCAATGGAATGGGAAAAGATATTTGCAAATGACATATCAGACAAAGGGCTAGTATCCAAAATCTATAAAGAGCTCACCAAACTCCACACCCGAAAAACAAATAACCCAGTGAAGAAATGGGCAGAAGACATGAATAGACACTTCTCTGAAGAAGACATCTGGATGGCCAACAGGCACATGAAAAGATGTTCAACGTCGCTCCTCATCAGGGGAAAACAAATCAAAACCACACTCAGACACCACCTCACACCAGTCAGAGAGGCCAAAATGAACAAATCAGGAGACTATAGATGCTGGCGAGGATGTGGAGAAACGGGAACCCTCTTGCACTGTGGTGGGAATGCAAATTGGTACAGCCACTCTGGAAAATAGTGTGGAGGTTCCTCAGAAAATCAAAAATAGACCTACTCTATGACCCAGCAATAGCACTGCTAGGAATTTACCCAAGGGATACAGGAGTACTGATGCATAGGGGCACTAGTACCCCAATCTTTATAGCAGCACTCTCAACAATAGCCAAATTATGGAAAGAGCCTAAATGTCCATCAACTGATGAATGGATAAAGAAATTGTGGTTTATATACACAATGGAGTACTACATGGCAATGAGAAAGAATGAAATATGGCCCTTTGTAGCAACATGGATGGAACTGGAGAGTGTTATGCTAAGTGAAATAAGCCATACAGAGAAAGAGAGATACCATTTTTTCACTCTTATGTGGATCCTGAGAAACTTAACAGAAACCCATGGGGGAGGGGAAGAAAAAAAAAAGGTTAGAGTGGGAGAGAGCCAAAGCATAAGAGACTCTTAAAAACTGAGAACAAACTGAGGGTTGATGGGGGGTGGGAGGGAGGGAAGGGTGGGTGATGGGTATTGAGGAGGGCACCTTTTGGGGTGAGCACTGGGTGTTGTATGGAAACCAATTTGACAATAAACTTCATATATTGAAAAAAATAAAAATTAAATAAATAAATAAATAGAAATTAAAAAAATAAATATAACTACAATTCTTTATACTCTGCTTTGATAATAAGGGTGGGAATCATGAAACACAATTATCATTTGCCAGCTGGTTCCCTGCTATGTTCTGTTAATTGGAATATGATAGAAGGAAACTGGAAGCTACTAAAAGGATGAGTATCCCAGCATGTTTGCTTGTGATTCCTGTCAATGCCACACAACAATGCCAATATCACTGGTTCTTCCTTCTAGTTTTATTTCTTCCCAATACTCCCAGCAAAATCTCATCATGCTTCCTCAGAAGAAACAGAACCAGACATCAGTGGGGTGCGTCTCAGGGGTCTGAGTCTCAGGTCCATGAGGGGTCCTCCTCTGTGCTCCTGAAGCATGAGCTACAGCTGTGAAGTGCCTCTTCACAGGGGTGTGAGTCTTGGATCTATGTGGTCTGTTCTCTTGGCTCCTGATGTACTACAATCAACAGGACAGCACCTTTTCATAAGGGGTCTGAGTGTCAGTTCGGGGAAGACCTTCACCATGCTTCTAAGTTTTCAATACTTCAAACTCCTATCTTTGTTCTCACAGACATAAAGGTGGAAGTGATACCCTGCAGTTAGTATCTCTATTATTTCTGTATTCCCTTTGTGCCTTCAGTCCACCTATACTTGTTCATCTTGGATTAAATACTCCCAGTGTTAACCACTGGTATAACTTCTGTCTTCCTATCCAGAACATGATTAACATACCCACTTTAATCTTCCTTGAAGAGAAAGCCCAAACATAGCATCACAAATCCAAACAGATTAAAATATCTCTGCATCTGGTTCCTGGTACTCTTGAGATTATATTTGCCAAAAACAAAAACAGATTTATTAAGCATTAAGCATGACATTAGTACTTCTGAAAAAACCATACAGACTGAAGTTGAAGTAAGAAGAGTTATTTTTCATAGGATGTTTGTGCTATAAATATTTCCTGAAGATCTAGGAGAAAGTAAGAATATCTGACCAAAAAGTTCAGGTTACTGACAAAGCAATAAAACATGTATTGATGATAATACTAGCTACTATATTAAAGGTTATGGAAGTCAGAGGCAGAGAAAAAGTAAAATATTTGGAATGATTCCATAACCATGGGCAATGCCAATTTTATGTGCCAGATTTAGATAATAAAATTCAGTAACAAGCTATTGTTAACACACTTTTTATTCCCACCTTCTTATTTTTTTTTTATTTTTTTTAATGTTTATTTATTTTTGAGACAGAGAGAGACAGAGCATGAGCAGGGGAGGGTCACAGAGATGGAGACACAGAATCTGAAACAGGCTCCAGGCTCTGAGCTGTCAGCACAGAGCCCGACGTGGGGCTCGAACTCACCGACCGCGAGATCACGACCTGAGCTGAAGTCAGACACTTAACCGACTGAACCACCCAGGTGCCCCTCCCACCTTCTTCTTTAAAGCAAAGAAAAAAAACAACTCCACATTTGAAATCCAAACTGGGTCATTCTGATTATCTCAGTAATTGAACATCTTTCATCTTAAATGAACAAATTTTAATATCATTGTGGCTGAGGAAATAATAGGTAGATAATTTTAGACTAAATTTCTCTCTTAGCCCATGGTCTTCTTATTTAAAACTAAAGTGATCTTTTGGGATGTTGTTATCCCAAGCACGAGTCTCAGCATTTTAACTTCTATCAGTGGCATTTTACTCATCTATACAATAACAAAGAATAGAAAACATTGAAAAACCCATCTATTCTTTTGTTGCACTGGGATGGAGAACTTTCAGCACAGCTCTGCGTATCTGTTTGGTCTTCACACTGTAGATGATGGGGTTCAGCACAGGGGGATTAACAGGTAGGTATTGGCAACCAGGATATGTACATAAGGTGGGGCCCATTTCCCAAATCTGTGAACAAAGGACAGACTAATCAATGGAATATAGAATACAGCAACAGCCCCAATATGGGAGATACATGTGCTGAAGACTTTCTTCCTCTCTTTCAAAGATGCAATGCTGAAGACAGTCTTAACGATTAACAAGTTAGAAAAAATAATGAAGACCAAGTCTACCCCAGCAGTGGTGATCAGGGCTGTGAACCCCACTGCGCTATTGATCCTGGTGTCTGTGCACGAGAGCTTCATCACGTCAGGGTAGAAGCAGTATGAGTGGTGGAGCACATGGCTGTGGCAAAAGGGCAATCGTTTAAGAAGCAACACCATAGGAGTCTGGATTAGTGCCCCCTGGTGATGATTGCTATTCCAATCTGTGCTGTTTTAAGCTCAGTTAAGATAGAAGCATATCTAAGAGGATTAGAGATGGCCACAAAACGATCAAAGGCCATGGCCAACAGCACTGAGGACTCCATGACAATGTAAAGTTGAATGAAAAACATCTGTGACAGGCAGGCATTAAAGCTGATCTCCCTGGCATCAAACCAGAATATACCCAACATGGTGACCAGGGTAGATATGGACAGGCCGAGGTCAGTGGTGGGCAGCTTGGAGAGGAAATAATACATGAGTTTGTGGAGGCTGGGCTGAGTGACAATGGCAAAGAGAATCAGGCTGTTTCCAGAGAGGGTGGTTATGCAGAGAAAGCAGAAGGGAATGGAGATCCAGGTGTGGAAGACTTCCAACCCAGAAACATCAGTTAGTAGGAAAATGATGGACATTCTGGAAAGTTGACATGTTGAACTCAAACTGCAGAATCTTATCATGAATAGCCTGCAATGATCAATTGCATTTCTTTATAATGAATTCAACCTGAAATTAATTATTTCACCAGGTAAACATTTATAAGAGATAGTATCTATATTATAGAAAGAGCTTATGAAGATTGGTTAAAAAATAAAGAAAACTAAGGCCACATCTAATAGAGAAGCAGAAAACAGGAAATGAACAATTATGTGAGGATATAGAATTTGTATATAAACAAATCTAGCAATGATCCATCTTATTTAAATTCAGTGCCTTTTAAGTGGATTGCACCCATCACTTACTTTATGTGGTAGGCAGTCAAGAAATATTTTTTGAGAGGCGCCTGGGTGGGTCATTTGGTTAAGTGGCTGACTTGAGCTCAGGTCATGATCTCACGGTCCGTGAGTTCAATCACATGTCAGGCTCTGTGCTGACAGCTCAGAGCCTGGAGCCTGCTTCAGATTGTGTCTCCCTCTCTCTGCCCCTCCCCCACTCACACTCAACCTCTCAAAAATATACATTAAAAAAAGTTTTTAAAAAAAGAAATATTTTTTGAAATGTATATGTTGTGTTGTATGAAATCTTAGATAAACAACAAACAGTATATACAGGGATTCTGATATAATAAATAAAGTAAGTTGGCTTCTGGGGGCCAAAAAAAGGAATGCTCTCATCTCCTGGATACTTTCTTTCAATCAAGTTGAATATCTCCAAACATAAAAATAGCCAACATTTTTTTGGGGTGCCTGGGTGGCTCTGTCAGTTAAGCGGCCAACTTCGACTCAGGTCATGATCTCACGGTCCATGAATTCAAGCCCTGTGTCAGGCTCTGTGCTGACAGTTCAGAGCCTAGAGCCTGCTTCGGATTCTGTGTCTCCCTCTCTCTGACCCTCCCCCATTCATGTTCTGTCTTTGTCTCAAAAATAAATAAACCCTAAAAAAACTTAAAAAAAATAGCCTACATTTTTTGAGCCCCTACTATCTGTTAGTAGTTGTGAAAATATTCTGTATGAACCTACAGTTTCTTTGCAATACCATAACTTGAACTGTACCTAATTAACTTTTGTACTACATACCTAGTGTAAGCCATCAAGACAATTACAAACAGAACTGTTTGAATATAGAGGGTCTCAAAGTAAGTACTGTGGACATTTTGATGTTACAAATTTTTATTTGGCATCCCAAATCAATTTTTTGGGCTGCATATTCTATTTTTTGATGCATTCAAGCATTGACTGATATATTTATTGGCTAAGACACCCACACGATAAGATATTAAATATATGTGCCTGAACTTTCCATCCCTAAACTAATAATGATATGCATACTCCATAGAATTATTACCAGGATTAAATTAGTTAATATATATGAAAAACTAAGGAGGGTACTTCACTGTGATGTAAAAGTTCAACAAATTTTAGCTGTTATATCTTTTTAATTAAATTTAAAATATTATATAATCATTTCTTTTCCTTCCTTTCCCACATCTATTTGCATACCCCTCCCACTTATTCACAGGTCTTGTCTTCTGAGCTGAGACAAAAGGTGAAAATATTATCTAAGTCTGACTTGGGCAATGCCTACTGCTTAATATCTTCTTTATGTGGTCCCTTCTTCCTCCACAGCTATGATTTTTCTTCTACATTCTTTCCTGATTCAGAAGAAAAACTATTGCTCACTTCCAAAGACAACCCTACCATGTAAGCCCCTAAATGAATTCTGGATATTAGTATAGTTTAACATTAAATTACTGAGTGCATGTGGGGTCCCTGGGTGGCTCAGTGTGTTAAGTGACCGACTCTTGATTTTGGTTCAGGTCATGATCTCAGGGTCATGAGCCCAGCATGGAGGCTGTGTAAGATTTTCTCTCTCTCCCTCTATTGCTCCTGTGCTCACTCTCTCGAAAGAAAGAAAGAAAGAAAGAAAGAAAGAAAGAAAGAAAGAAAGAAAGAGAAAGAAAGAACTGAGTGCAGGCTGTAATCCACTAGATGGATACAGAACCAAATTAAACATGGTACCAGCCCTCAAGGATATTTAGGAAAGGATAAGATACTTATGAAAACAAACATGTAAATGGACAAATAAAATGCAGTGTGATATATAAAATAATGGGTTTGTGTTTAAAACACACTGGTTGAATGTATTAGAAAGTCTTATGGGGGAAGGATCAAGAGAGGCTACTTTGAGAATATAAAGAACACTTGTGCAGGGGTAAAAATCACCATGAAGATACTCTAAGCATGTCCAAGGTATATTGTATTAGATAATTTACAAATGTCACTAAGACATGAGATATAAGGTGCTAAAAGTGTTTAAAGGTAGCAGGAGTCCAGTATGGAATTATTTTATCACCACCAAAGGGTAAGGAATTTGGATGTTTTCTAAACACTGAAAACATAAAGAATACATAGATGTCTTTCTGCACTGTGAAATAGCCCCACCCATTTTCCTTCTTTATTTTTATTAAAATTTGGACACTTTCATTTGTACCATTACCACCATCTATAAATATTTCAACTTCTTTCCCAACCTAAACATAACTCTGCCTCCTTCCTGTCGCATGTATCTCCTTCCCTTCACTAACAACTTATTGAATATTTGTCTTTCCTCATCTTCCTCTTAAATAGTTCACACCTATTCTTGAAATTTGCTTCTTTTTGTACGGAAGCATACTCTGTTGGATTAGTTGTCTATTGCTGCATGAAAAACCAGCAAAAATTCATGGTTCAAAACAAGAAATTCATTGACTCACATCTCAGCAAGTCCTAAGCAGAAGCAGAAGTATCAGGATCTCTGCTCAGGGTCTTACAAGGCTAAAATCAGGGTTTCAGCCAGGACTGTGTCCTCATCTTGAGGTCAGGGTCCCTTCCAGACGGATCCAGGTTGTTGGCGTTCTTTGTGGTATGGAATTGATGTCTCCACTTTCTGACTGGCCATTGACTAGAGGTTGCTCCCAGCTCCTAGAGACTACCCTCTACCCTCTGCCCAGTCATCTGGACCTCTCCCAACAGGCTGCATCTTCCAACCCAGTAGAGGAGTCTCTCTGCTGGCTCCTGTCTCTTTTAAAGGCTCACATGATTAGGGCAGGCCCACCCAGCATAATCTCCCTTTTGGAAAACTCAAAGTCAAGCCATCACCAACCTCGCTGACATCTGCAAACTCTCTTTGCCATACGTACAACATGACATATTCCATCACATCCATAGAACCGCGCACACTCAGGGGGTGGGTTTCATACTGGACTATACTCATAGGGGACAGGAATCGTGAGCACCTTTTAGAATGCTGCCTGCCAAAAGTGTCCAGGCCAACCAATCTATAAACTTTTATAGGTTTGGCTTCTAAAATGTCCTTTGATTGACCATCCTTATCCTCCACTTCTATCATCTCTATTTTACATAGTAGTCTCATTAGTTTTTGCAGGAACTACAGCTATATTCTCATAAGTAATTTCCCTGCCTTGAGTTTCAAGTGTTTACAAACTTTTTCCATATTGATGCCAGCATGATCTCTCAAAAATACAGCTTCTTGTCACTCCTCATACAGAACTCTTCCTTGTCTTCAGCACGAGGTTGAAACTCTTTCCTATCTTATTATAGCCATCAAGGATCTTCCCAATCTAACAAAAATCTACGTTTCCTGATACCCAACCTCTTCCCTCCCCCCAGGAACCTTTTGATATGATCAACCTGGACCTTTCCTACCTCACCAAATTACCCAATATAGTGAGTTCTCTCACAGTGCTGTGCTTTGCTTAAGTCATGTACTTCCCATTCTTCTTTGAATAGGCCTAAATTCTTTGATTCATTAGATTCATTCTTAGATTCATTATTTTCTTTAGGAAGCATTTTATGGAATCACCTTCTCCAAGTCAAGTCACAAGGAATTACTTCTTCCTCTGGAGTCATATTTTTATTTATTTATTCATCTAGAATAGTGTTAATTCCATTGCATGATCATAAATTACTTGAAAATATGCCTCTCTAACTGAAATCAGCTATGGGCAGGTAGACCATTATATTCCCTGTACCATGAACTGTACTGTGCAGTGTGGAAAGTCAATATATATTTTTTGATAAAAATTAAATCCAAGGGTTGTATACTGACAACGAATTCTGGAAATATATCAGGATCTTAACACATTACAGCCTTGTGGTATTTAATTTATGCTATTTGGCTTCAAATTACAGGTATGACTACTGGAAGCATCTCTGTGAACTCTTTCATTCCCACAAAAGGAAGCGTGTGTGTGTGTGTGTGTGTGTGTGTGCGCGCGCGCGCACGTGTTGAGGCTTTTTTTAATGAAAGGTTTGTGTTGGCATTTTAAGGTACACTTTTATGTGCCCCCCTCCACTTCTCAATAGTGATTCTCTCTTCTGTGAAAACAATATTCCAGGCCCATAGTAAGAACATGCAACAGCTCCCATGCAGGACTACCTTGAGTTAGCTCTCTCCTCTGATGCCAGAGAGTCACTAACATGGTTGTACGGTCAGGCAAACCTAGTTTCAAGTGTTGGCTCTGCCACCAACTAGCTGAGGTTCTCCAAATAAGCACTTTATATTAGGTTTTACTTCCGTAAAATTAAGTTTACCAATAGCATTCATTGTAAGGATCACTGAAATAGCATTTGTGAAGCATTTAATCTGCCAATGAGTACTGGGGAAGCACTTAACAATGGTAAATGAGGATGAGGTTGATGCTGGTGGTAGGTGGTTCCAGCATTGCCCGCTGCCCTTAGGCAATAATTTTGAAACATATTCAACTAACCAAAAAACTCACAATTCAAGGACCTGCTAACAACTTGCTCCAAGAGTCAAGACATATGGGCCACAGATCAACTGAACCCTATTGGCCAGAACATGATGTACCCAAATACTGATTTCAGGAAAAACCCTTCCACAGTTTTCCTGAGACACTCATGAGGGCTTTTTGCAGTTAATTAACTCTTCCTCATTCTAAAGGAAACCGGTGGGTGTGAAGCTTGATGTTTTCCCTAAGCGCACAGTGTTACTTACAAAGTATGGAGCTGTCTTCTTTCCTGTCCTCTTTGCCAGAAAGGGATTTGAGGAGCAGTGGAGGTTTTCTCCTCAGGTACAGGTAGCACATATAAGGAGCCATGACTCAGGCTTCATGAAATCTCCTAATCAGAAAAACCTAGTGGACTTTTCTGCGGCCCCCGAGTACCAAGTTTCCCAAGGGTTCATTCCACCTCATGACTCTCTTCCCTTTCTATCTCACTACATTTAGTTTTGTCATTTCCGTGCATGGGCTGGTATTATAGTGCCTTGACCTTGCTAAATGTGAGTCTGTGAGTCAAAATTCCCAAACAAAACACCTGCCATATATGCACCAGCTCACTCCTGTCTCTACCTCTACCCCCACATATAGCTGATAAATGTATCGTCCTACAACATAAATTGGGTAAATATGGTACACTTTTAAGATGGGTGAAGGGGAGTGGGAGACACAGGACTCCAGTTGTGGAATGAGTAAGTCACGGGAATAAAAGGCACAGCATACAGAATACAGTCAGCGATATTGTAATAGCAATGTAAGGGGACAAATAGCTATACTTATGGTGAACATAGCACAGTGTATATAAACTTGTGACATCACTAAATTGTACATCTGAAACTAATGTAACATTGTGTGTCAACTATACTCAAAGAAAAAATATATATGGTTCTCTACCTTCAAAGTTCTCCATTTTTAAAACTTTTCCTGAGAATCCATGCAATTTGAATCTGTTATGTTTATACTTAGAAGTATACTCCTTAAGTATACTCCTTAGAAGTAACTGAATGTGTATTATATCTCCTCTGTTAAACAGTAAATTTCTAGGAGCTATATTTTCCTCTTCAGACTAAGAGTTTCCTGAGTTGTTGATATCCCCTTTAGTTCAGGTTCTTCCTGGCAAACAGAGAAATCACCATCAATGATTCCTCTTAGTATCTGCTTCAATGTTTTATCCAGTCTCATTCAAAAGAAACAACTGTTTTAAACATTACTTGAATTTATATATGTTTAGTCAGATTATTACCCTTAAAAATAGAAATTATGTCTTCATTTTTCACTGTTTCAACACCAGTACATTCCACAGCACTTGCCAAAATGAAAATGGCCAAAATATGTAAGAAAAATATTTGCAAAGTTATGTAAAAGTTGTTAATTCAGTAAGCATGTATTAAATTAGCTATTATTAATAAAGTACTATGCTTATATCCGTGCATGATAGATTAATTTTAAAGTTCAATGGCTGTTTTCAAAAATTTTTAAGTCAGTCAGGGAAGATGGCCCTAATTGCCTATAAGACAAAGATTTATTAATGGCACCTAGAAGAAGGAAAAGGCAACTACTAGGGGCGGGTGGAGAGCAGGTGAATATTTCAGTTATAGAGCACAAAACAATCAAAGACAAACAGCAAGGTATTTATGGTATTTTTTTCAGAAGTGAAAACTTCCCAGAAGAGTGTTATCTAACATGCCTGCTAACCTGGAGGTAGCTTGTTAAAATATAAATCCCCAGGCTCCATCTAAAGAATTTCTGATTAAGTAGTTCCAGGTTGGGGTTGAAGATATTAAGTTGTTCCGATGCCCTGGTTTTGAACCACAGTTAGTACAGCAATGGACAAAAGCAGGAAGTGGATGTCATATTATAAATTGGTGGTATGAAGACAGATTGTGAAGACCCATGGGGAAGCAGTTACAAGGGAAGATGAAGAACAAAAAAGTTACTGTGTTTTCAAGTGGGTGTTAAATGGAAATCAATTATTTCACTACCTGCAAAATTTTAAACACTCATTATTGAGCATTTTTAAACTGCAGGAAAGTACACAGAAAATATAAACAAGCCAATCTCTAATTATTGGAAGACAAGTACTTTGACATTTGGAACATATCTATCCACACTTTTACAATGTATTAGTGTGAGTGGATATGCAAGTGTATGTGTGTGTGTGTTCCCATGAAATATATACAGAAACAGTGATACATACCCTGTAAACTAATCTATCTTTTCCCTTAATAATATATAAATTTATACCTATGTCAGTATTTAGCTGGTTGCATGAGAGTTTATATTTTATTTAACCAATACCCTAAAATAATTGTTTAAGCAGTTTCCAGATTTGCATTGCAATGAATAATGATATGTTGAACATCACAACACGTCTTGGCCCACTTTCCCCCATTAGACACGTATTTTGAAGAATAAATCACTGGATATTACATAGTTAAAATTTTAATACATTTACCAAAGGGACCCGAATAACCCTTTTAAGAATTAAGTAAGTTTGATTTTTATTTGACTTCATGTTTTCTAGGCTTATTCATGTTCTGTGGCCATGGGTAGTCTATCTGGGGAAATAATAAGCATTACCAATAAATGGTTAGAATTACTGTAACTTAGACTTTCCTACTGAGGGAAATTATATCAAATATCCCTTGAATCATGCTGTACCTCAGAGGTTATAAGGCTGTTTAAACCCCAATTCATGACTTTATTTGTCCACTTTGTAGAAATATTTTACCTGTGGTCCTATTCTGTGCCAATGGAAGCATTTGTGACAAGGCCAAAGGTACACGAGACACAGTCCCTATCCCCAAGAATCTACATTCTTGAACTCACTAAATACGAAGCTATTGCATCATCAGAACAGAATGAAAGCATTTATAAATAGGCTTTTTCAATTCTGCACAGTGCCAGTCCTTTAAGACTCTAGGTTTTGAATCCCGGCCATGTGCCAAAGAAAAAATGCAGGGGAGTTGTGGCCCAGGGCCAGCTGACTGCCCTCACTATTCCGTGAGGGCTGCCTGAACAGCAGGGGTTGTAAGATCCCTGATCTGGGCAAGAGAGACTGGGGTGGTGCCATTTATCCCCAACATCAACGAGGTGCGACTTAAGAAAGAAACACAGCAGCCCCCAGTGAAGTGGACCGCCTTACACCAAACCCTGCCCCTCTTGCCTGGCAACTACTTAATTACTGGGGCAAGCCTGACTCTGAGCCAACTGGGTAGGCCTCTCCTCCAGAGCCAACATAGCCAGCACCCCTCATGCACCAAGTGCACTGAAAATCACGCCTCGGGGCGCCTGGGTGGCGCAGTCGGTTAAGCGTCCGACTTCAGCCAGGTCACGATCTCGCGGTCCGTGAGTTCGAGCCCCGCGTCGGGCTCTGGGCTGATGGCTCAGAGCCTGGAGCCTGTTTCCGATTCTGTGTCTCCCTCTC